TGCAAAATTTTGGCGATCTATCTCAATTCGTTTAGACGCTGGAGTGATTACAACAGACAGGCGGACATGCTTAGATCGTCATAGAATTTTACGCTGATCAAGAATATATATACTTTAAAGGGTCGGAAATGATTATTTCGATGCGTTACAAACGGAAAAACAAAACTAATATGATTGAAAGTCGTCTTGATAGTTAAAGACAAAAATTAAAAGGTCAGAAAATCGACTTTTTGGTCAGCAGCTACGTAACCCTATCTCCCCCTCTCCCACTACTAGCTGTTTGTTATTTTTACCGACTTTCCACTTACTCGATTGTGTGATTTAGATACTGTTACTGACCTCTGCATTGTGTTATAAAATTCGCATATGCATTTTCCAAATTACTTCGATATAAATGAAGCAATTGTTGGTACGAACAGCAATGAGGCAAGTCAAGAACATGTTAGGTAAATAAAAATAAACGAGACGAGACTCAACGAACTGTTTATATTATATACGATTTTTTTTCTGGAAATTCATCTTTGGATATGTTTTTCAGTGTCGAATGATATAAAAAATGATAGCATGAAGAGGTAATTGAATAGTATTGCCTAGGCTAGAATCAAGAATAACTCCATGGTCTGCTATAAGACTTTTGTGGGTGCAAAAGTGAAAAAAAAAACAGTGAAGTTCCGCCATGGTAAAACACCGATATTTGACAATTTTTGACTATTGTAAGTCTAGGATTAGGAAATTGCATTTAAATGCATTCCAAAAGAGGCAAGAAATCAATTCACTTAACAAAAAATTACTTATAATACTTACAAAAGCAAGCAATTGTCGGTCATTGATGATATGCAACTGATGAGAAATGATGGCAAATGATTAAAAGTCTTGGGGTTATGTAAAGTTACAATTCAGTGAACAAACTTGCTGGAGTCTGGTCGGTGTGAATAACAATCTATGGAAATTTAAATTACTCCCTCTCCTCCTTGCACAATAGATATATGCAATTCAATTTAGATTCTTTTGAAATAAAATTGCAAGTATTCTGCTATTCATGTGAAGTGCAGGACGTGTGAAGTGGGAACGTAGTCATGCTTATAAATATAGCTCTAAATATTATTGTCAATGAGAAAAGTACAACATTTGTTCTATTTTCAAAATATACGGCGTATTTTTTAGTATTTGAAATACAAAATTAAAATAATTGGTTATAGATTTCGAATGCTATAATTTCCCACCAGACTGTTTGCATTGCAATTGCAAAATACATATCATCTCGATTTGATTGGCCCGAAATGGTTATGTATTGATAGCATCTATGACTTTACGGAAATTCCATACATGCTGAAGTCGAAGATGAAGTGTGAAAAGTCAAGTTTGTTAAAAGTTTATTGGAACTTTGTGGAAAACCTCCCCCATCCCCCCTTCGAAAATATTTCCGCATAATAATGATATGTGTGTTCGATGCTTCTTCTCTTCTTTAACATTCAAAGAAACATGGGATGGGGTTAGTACGTTTGTGTGCATATCCAACATAAGACGGCAATTTACAGTGAAACGCATTTCTATCCATACACGCATTTTAACTTCCCACTGGGATTTTGAAACACAAATCGCATTATTTTATATTGGAAAAAATACTCAAACATTTAACTGTAAATACAAGTAAAAAAGTTTCATATAGGGGATGTATTTTAATCAAAAAGTTGATCATTTTCGGGCTTGATCTAGGTTTCGTAAAAGTAATACGTTTTGAAAAGCTTGTATAAAATCGGACATTCCATTCTCATGATACTGGATTAACAAATATTCATTTTGTTGGGAAAGTACCAGAAGGGTCTCATCTTCGAACTTGGTCTGTATAAGGGTAAACACACTACGATGTGATAACACTGCTGTGGACGATTTTTTGCTGCATATTCCTATTTCCCCATTACACTACTGAATCATAAAATCAACTTTCCCATCCCCGCCAACCATACATGTGAGTAATATTAGAAAACAATTCTTAACATAAAATTCTTACCTGGCCCATTTCCATACTCCCTCGAGAGCAAACGAGATCAGAAGAAGCTAATCAGCCAATCAGCCATATCGATCATAATTAAAATGTAAGTACCATTTAGTACCTTTGTTCTCTTATACTCATATGGTATGTATTTCCAAAACTACCTTCATATCTCAATCTAGCTCTATACTAAATTTGGTCCCAATTATTACCTTTTGTACTCTTGTAATACTTTTTTCCAAAATTAATTCCAAATTTCAGGATTCTACCTCTATTGATTCCCTTAAATACTAATTGTATCAAATTTAGTATAATTTACGCATTAATGCAAATTTCCATAACTATCTACATCATACAATCCAACAGAAATCATATTTCCCAAATTCAGGATTTCTGTTCACCAAATTTGCTACTATTTAGTACACAAAAGTACGACTTTCTAAAATGTCCAACATTCCCAAATCTACACTTCAACAGCAATCTTAATTTTAAATTTCAGGATTCCAGCCCACCTAATTTCAAATTGTGTTAAATTTACAACACATAAATACAAATTTACACTGCCGGTTCAACTAAATTGAAATTGTATCAAATTTAGTACCATATAGTATTCATTGGTGCTAATTTCCAAAACTTTATAACTAACTACAAATTTCAGGATTCCAGCTTTATCGTAACTTTATGGGTCCGATTAAAATCAAATTGTACTAAATTTTGTACTATTTAGTACACATAATCATTTTCAAAACAACCAGCAATGCTGTGGTAATCTTATTTTCATATTTCAGTGTTCCAGCTCTCTTTGACTTTTTGGCTATGCCATTTTATTTAATATTTACATATTAGGATAATTAGCTAAACCTTACATTAATCTATAAATAAACATGCTTAATGTGTACTAGCCTACTTTAAATCTTAACATAATAGTGCAACAGCGTGCTGTATACCCAACTTCCTTACTTAAATATACATATAAAATCATCCTATGCCCCCGAGATTTATTAAAAAAGGGCGATGTAAAACTTAACCTAACTTAGAAATATCTTAAAACTACTTTAAAACCAGTGAGCGGTGCAGTATAGTCGGACGGGGCCGACCATATGATACCCTACACAACTTCCATGAAAATCTAACATTCTATGGTTCTATATTCTGAGATAGGGCAATATTTCGTGATATTTGCACACTTTTGACTGACTAGAGGTCAGAAAATGTTACTAATAATTAGTATAGCCCCTCTAATTACATGTTCAGATTCCCTTCACCGTTGGTTGTATTGTGATGTTCGGCTTTCGACTCGAAAAGTACAAATTTCGGCCCACTTCATCCGAAAAGTTATTATCTGATCATCACATAACATTTTAGGAGTTGTCCTTGACCATAACTAGAACCTCATTGAACATTTCAAAGTGATCAGCGCTATATTTCCGCCCTCCAGTGTGGTAATAGGTTACTAAATAAAATATGACTACGTAAGCACCTGTAAATATTTAAGTGTAACTCCCGCATCCGAGTACCTACGACAATATAATTGGTATCATTTTGGATGTACTGTCAACTTCTCGCGTCTATGTCCTTCAGTGGTAAGTATACACGCTATAGAATACAAATTTTGTCATTTTTCACACAAAAGTTAGGGTCTATTTGACCCGCTAAATATTGACCGATCTTTATCAAAGCAGACATGTCTTTTCTTTGGCCCGATCCTCTTCTCCATGTAAAATTTCACGATGTTCGGGCCATAATTGCGGCCTCTTGAGCGACCAGAAAAACCGACAAAAATTTAGTATTTGGTCCATTTCATTCCCTAAATATTAACCAATCTTTACCAAAAACAATAGGGGTCTTCATTGGCCAGAATCCATCCTACACGCAAAATTTCGTGAAGATTGGTCCATAACTGTGGCCTGTATCGTGTTTACAAATTATAATGGAAAGACGGGCAGACGGATGGACGGGCACACATGTCTAGATCGACTCAGCTAGTCGAGATATGACGATCGGTACACTTAAAGGTGGGTCTAGGACCAATGTTTTTCGCCGTGACAAACTCTAGGGGCTGCACAAAGCTATAATACCCTGACAACATAGTTGTATAGGGTATAACTATGGTACGCACAATTTTGAGGGGGAGAAAACTTAAGCTAGCGCCACATGGAGCATCAGCGACCACCAAGCCTTGGCCTCTCCTTCCTCCGCGCAGATGTGCTTAAAGGTGGGCCAAAATGCCCTCAAAATGCGTTCCAATGTCCCCGAATTCCGGCGGCATCTTGCTGACTACCCGAGGATGTCTAGCTGTGCTCCAGAAGGAGCGGGAGCCGGACCACTACCGGCTGTTGAGGGGGCCTTTGGCGAAGAGCGCCCCGAGCAGCATCAGCGTACGATATCCCCGTACGCAAAGAGGAAAGGTACTCAGACCTTGCTGACTCCTTCGCCTCCTTCTCGGTCTTCCTCTGCTGCCTATTGGCGAGGATAGCCATCCTTTTAGGGCAGGGCAGCGAGCCGGCAGAGTGGCATTCAGTGCCACAGTTCACGCACTTCATCACCGCGCGTGGCTTATCCGCATTCGGGGCTTCCTTGGCCTTCCCCGGAGCCTCGCACATGTTGCTGGCATGAGGACCAGCACACTTAACACACACTGCGGAGGCATTCCGCAGTTGGCAGCGATGTGACCAAAGCGCTGGCAGTTGAAGCACTGGGTCACTCCTTTACGGGCATCCTTCCGTACCTTCAGGCTGCTGTTGAACAGCCGCTTGATGGCGTACACGCGGAAGATATCGGTTTGCCTGTCAAACCGCACCAACCACTTATCCGCAGCGATGTTGATGAAACTCCGGATATGTACCGGAAATCCCAGACCGCTGAGTTCCGCCATCGAGGATGACGCTGTACGGCAGACGGTCCTTCGGAGTGTGGGTATGGTGCTTATACCCACGTTGCTCCAGCATGGCTTTCACTTTGTCGAAAGCCTACAAATTCCGCACCCTCACGGAGTTGACTCCCTTACGGACCATCGTAAGGGTGAACTCCCTGGAGTCGATGGTAGACCGCAGAATCGCCGTCATTTCCTTCACTCCAATGTCGTAGGTGGTGATGGATGGATGGTGGCACTGCCGAGCTGCCCACTCTACCGCCGTTCGCCTGGCCAGATGCACCTCCAGCCGATGTCGCACTCGCCAGGTCCGCCTTCTTCCCCGGTCCTTTCCCTCCAGTAGCCTTGGCTCCGGCCTTCGCTGCAGTCGATGTAGACGGGACCTTAGCAACCGTCTTCGCCGCCGCAGATGTTGAAGGACCGTCCGTCCCTTCCACCTCCATCGACGAGTCCAGGTCACAAGCTGCATATACAGCCGCCCTCAGATTCGCCGCTTCCAACTGCGCCATTGAGCGCGCGTTGCTTTCCGTCAGGGATGAAACCTTGTCCTCGAGCATGTCGATGGTCCCATTTAGGTTCTTTACCGTGTTGTCTAACCTGAAGATTTGGAAGTTGTTGGCCTCCTCACATCCGCAGGTAACATTCCTCCTCTTGCGGTTCTCATTCAACCGCTCGCTGCTGCTTGCGTAGCTATCGTCGTCTGATGAGCTACACGACGAATCCTCCTCTTGTGTGCGCCTCCCAGGTAGCTGGCCTTCCATAGTAGGTTTTCCACTTCACTTTTTATTCACTTAAACACTTTTCACTTTTCCGCTGTAGGTATATTCACGTTGACGATCAGAACACAACTGATGATCGATCAATCGATGCAACTTTGCACTAAAAGTCACCCCAAATTTAAAGATTTTAGTTTCGTGTGGGCTTTGATGAATCGTTAAGTCAGTCAGTCAATCACTTTACTCTTTTACTAAAATTGGTGCCCTCCACCAAAGACTCGGAATGCGAAACTACAGCACCTTTGACTGGAAAATTCGGCTTCAAATTTCCAAAAACCTAGAATAGGTCGGGGCAATATGAAAACATGAACCTTTATTGATAAATGTTCCTCAGAACTCGGAATGTTAAACTACATCCCCATTAACTGGAACATGTACAGCGTGACCGTTGTGCCACTAAAGTATCAATTTTAAAAACTTTTTTTTTCGGCCTTGCCACTCTTGTGCCACTTTTTTTATTTTGATACAAAATGTGTCACTTTTTGAAATTTTGTGCAACTTCTTCCTATATTTTGCCACTTTGTTTTAAAATGCTCGTACACGAAGATATTTACTAAGGAAATATTCATGTGGACCGTTTTTATACCCTCCACCATAGTATGGAGGGTATATTAATTTTGTCATTCCGTTTGTAACTCATCGAAATATTCATTTCCGACCCTATAAAGTATATATATTCTTGATCCGGGTAAAATTCTATGACGATTTAAGAATGTCCCTCTGTCTGTTGTTATCACTCTAGCGTCTAAACGAATAGAGATAGATCGCCAAAATTTTGCATAGAGTCGTCTTTTGTCTGCAGGCAGGTCAAGTTCGATGATGGGCTACATCAGTCCACGTTTAGGCATAGCTCCCATATAAGGGTACCCCCAAATTTTCGGTATTTTGAGGTTCTTGAACGCGTTTTTCAACTGAATTCGCTGAAATTTGGTACTTTGAGTTCTTATTGGGTAGCAAATCACTCTACTAAAAAGTATAAATATAGGTCAATTTTTTCGGATAGCCTCCATATAAGGGTACCCACAAATTTTCGGTATTTTGGGGTTCTTGAGCGCGTTTACAACTGAATTCGCTGAAATTTGGTACATTGGGTTTTTATTGGGTACTAAATTACTCAAATAAAAATTATAAATATCGGTCCACTTTTCTGGTAGCCCCATATAACGGTAACCCCAAATTTTCGGTATTTTGGGGGTTCTGATCGTATTTTTCGACGGAATTGCCTGTAATTTAGTACTTCGAGATCTTATTGGGTAGCAAATCTATCGACTAAAAGTTATAAATAAAGGTCCATTTTTTCGGTTACCCCCATGTAAGGGTACCCCCCAATTTTCGGTATTTTGGGGTTCTTGAGCGCGTTTTTTAACCGAATTCGCTGAAATTTGGTACTTTGAGTTCTTATTGGGTAATAAATCTCTCCACTAAAAATTATAAATATAGGTTAATTTTTTCTGGTAGTCCCCATATAAGGGTACCCCAAATTTTCTATTTTTTGAGGTTCTTGAGCACGTTTTTCAACCGAATTTGCTGAAATTTGGCATTTGGTAGTCGTATATGGTAGCAAATCTCCCCGCCAAAAATTATTAATATTTTCCCCCTTTTAGGGGTAGTCCACATATAACCCGCTTTTTTATATTAAAATAGTTATCTGATTTGTTCCGTGTATTGGGGTTGTGTCCCCATTCTATTCTACCATAATATGGGGGGTAGTCGTTACTGGGAATAGTTAGTTTTTAACCTAAAAATATTGTGGAAATAAACTCAACCCTGACAATAATGAAATATATCGACAGACATTTAGGCATCTCCTCCATATAATGATACCTCCTGAAGGAAAGAATTGAAATAACAAATTATTGAAAATTGTGTTTAAAATAGCATTTACCGGTCATTAATTAGGCATATTCCTCATCTAATGATGTCCCCAAATATTCACTTCTTCCTACCCTATGTAATCAATATGGGTCCCCTTTAGGCATAGCCTACATAACTTTATAATCAAAATTACAGAATACTCTACAATGCGTTATCAGTATCGGTCCACATGTTGGAGCTTTCAGATTTTAGGAAAAATCCTCACTAAAAATTGTTCAAATTTGTATTTGGTGTACATTATGGTTTATAAATGTGTTTTGGTATATTCCCTATATTTTCATTTCAAATACCTGTCAGTATACCTATGGTGGAGGGTATCCAAAGTTCGGCCCGGCCGAACTTAACGCTTTTTAAACTTGTTTCAATTGTTTTTGTCGAAATTATTTCGAAACTATCTATTATAATTTTTACATCCTGTGGTACAGGGAATTGTTATTGTGCATTTGATGACATACGGAAAGTATTTTTGTAACCCAAATGAAGGTAACAGTAATTATCCGAATGATGCAATATAGTACGTCTCATTTGTTTAGCCTATCCAAATTGTTGAGAATCGGTGAAGATTAGTTACCGAGGCAAAATTTTCCATTGGGAATCGAATAAAGTCTACAATGACTTTTCATGGGATGTATTCTTGTGATGAGAATAATGTAGATTTTGTTAAAATCGTCTCAAATATTGAAATATTTGAACAAAAGACTCAGCTTTTGTCCGATTTTAAAATTTGTAAGCACCGTCCATATATAATTTCATCAGATTTCATGTTAATATGTAGCAAAACAGTGTACCACTTTTTGTGCCACCTTTTGAAAAGATTTGTGCCACATTTTTCCAAAAAATTATACTTTCTGTGATACTTTTAGTGGTCACGCTGAACATGTAGTTAAAATTCATTTCGTAAAATGTAATGAATTTTATTTACTTCTAGCGATCATTATATTTTAGTGGAATTGTGTGGGTACATATTTCACTTTGGTTGATCTCACAAGCTTTGTTCAAATATATGACATATGGCAACACTTATTTCTCTTACTGATGTCAAACTTCAGTTTGAGATTTATTTTCTTTTCAATCGGGAGCTTACCGTGTTTTTTTGTGATTTTGTGTGAATAAACGGGAATTTTATGATTATAAAAAGTTATCAGAAACAAGGAGCAGGGATAATATTTAAACAAAATTCAAAATTTTTATTGAAACTAAAGTAATTGTGAAGAAAAAAGTATTTTAAGTTTTGCCAAATTGCAGTTGAAGTGTGTTTTTATTACCACATGAAGTTAGTGGTGAATAGAAAATGTAAACAAATAATATCTGTGAGAGCGAAAGAGATATAAAAGCATTGAGCGAGAGAATCAAATAGATCAAGTGAGTGAGTAATAACTGCAACAAATGTAAACACGAATATATTTTAAAAGAGAAAAAAAAAAGAAAAGTCAAAGTGTTATTGAATTGCGATGTTTATTTTTAGAGTTTTCATAAAATTTATTAAAAAAAATATTTAAATTTGAAATTTTTTAATAATAAAATAATGAAAATGTACTTTTAATATTTTATTTTTTAATCTGCCTTTAACCAAGTGTAATTAAATTTTAGTTGTGTTTTGTATTTTTGAAGAAATTGGGAGTGGTGGATAAAATGAAGACTGATGAAGAAATGAATCAAGCAGTAAGGAAGTAAACATGGAAGAGGAAGAAGATGAGGTAAGTAATCAAATATTCTGTTTACGGCTTCATTATAAATTTCTACTTTTAGTTACCCATATTCTTTATTCAAAAAACATTTCATTTAAGAATTTAAAGACATTGAAATACTTTTATCCTAGAGTGTAGCAAAAAGCAACCAAGCATTCATTTCGCATTGTTACTCAAAACTTTTACAAACAATGTGCCAAAATATCCATTCGTACACATATCGACGGACATGTTTCACTACTCCACAAACTTCGCCCAGCAACACCATGCAAATCCAATTCAATAGCATCTAATAGACACTTTATTAGGAATATTCAGAGCGTGATCTCCATTTCGTAACGAAAGCTTTTTCAATTCTTGTGTCTGTTCTTGCAATTTTTGTTGGAGTCGTAGTTGTTGTTGCTGCTGACGGTCGTCTCATCAATTTGTGCATAATTTTCGGGTAGCAATTTGTAACTTTTCGACATTTGGGGAATTTGAACAATTCTTGTTTTCATTTCGACAAACACACACACACACAAAACATGGTAAGGCAAATCGAAGTGGAAGAAGAATGAAGAGCTAGGAAGTTCTAAAGAAGTGGATAGTGAATGGGGTTAAAAGCAATGAATTTTGATTGTCATATGATAATGATGTGACAATAGTGATACAATAACAACTACCAAAGTTGTTTACTAATTGAAACAGGTAGACAAATTGCTTAAATTATGATAGATAATTATTGCCAGGCCATTGTGGTTCAATGAAAGATCGTTTATATTCTATTTGATTGATTTTTAAATGATGGAGGAAATAGGTATCATAATATGGGCGGCCAGGGTATTATCTTGATGAATGATTACAAAGGACTATCAAAGCGTGAATTAAAAAACAAATATTAGGTTGGGGAAAAAGAAATTCATTCTTTCTGGCTGTACTGATAGATTTCTCGTAAAGTATCGATCAAACAATTTCAGATTTATGCTCGATGGAAGGGTGACATTTCGCAGTAAAAAAAATATTTTGCTTTTTTAATTGGTGCATTCAATTGTCAGTTACAGCGTGTTAAACTTGGAAGTGAACAAAGAGAAAATTCGGTACATTTTACAGTTTTTCTTTGACAAAGACGCAAATGCAAGCAAAGCGACTAATATTGTGTGTTTATGGTTCCGATACTGTAACAGCCAATTATCTGCAATTTTGGTTTCGTAGATTCCGTTCAGGAATTTTTGATGTTAAAGATGCATCTCATTCTCTCAAGGACTATAAAGAATATTTTTTCAAGGATTATCAAAGCGCGTATTTGTAAAAAAAAAATCTTGTAAGGACACTCAAGGACTATCAAGGGGAGTATTTTTAAAGAAATTATTTTCTGAAGGACTATCAGGGTTTGGATTTAAAAAAATATATTTTTTCAAAGACTATCAAGTGGTGGATTTTTAA